CCTTCTGAAACCCTAAACCCTAGACCCTAAACTCTATCCTCTTAGACCCTAAAAAAAGCCTTAGACCCTAAACCCTAAACCCTGAACCCTAAACTCCAAAAAAGCCTGACTGAGGAAAGCCTGAGTCTTTGTACACCCCACTGGTGGCCAAGCTTGGCGCAGACCCCTTGCGCGAAGACGCGGACCCGGAGAGCTTTGTCTCTGCCTGCGCTGCTGCAAAGAAGCCCGTGGGTACCGTTTTGAAACACGGCCTTAGATCTGGAAACTGGGTTTTTTTTGGTTTGGACCCTAAACCCTAAACCCTAAACCGTAAACCTCGAAATCCCATGCTGTCGGGCCTTCCTCTACTAAGGATGGACCAGTCTGTGTGCGCAGGTGTTGGAAACATCTATCGCACGGAAATTTTGTACGAAGCTGCCATCCATCCCAATCAGCCGGCTAATACGTTGACGAAGGCAGAGGTGCTGAAGCTCTGGAACACGGCCGTGAAGCAGATGCAAGCAGGCTCGTGCAGTGCCGGCTTGCTCGCAATAGCCCTTAGCCAGGTTGTTCGCCCATGTCTCGGAACTGTCAGAAAACAGTTGCTGGTGTCAGAATGCATGGAATGTGTAGATACGTCTAAATCTACTGTAGCCGTGGGTATGATTCTGAGCTTTGAAGCTTTCATGTGCTCAAGCCCTAAACGACACACCTTTAATTTGCCGAACAGGTCTGCAACACGTTTCGATTTGCGGTTGGGAGCGCGAGCTTTCCTGGTTGTGATGAGCAAGTCCTTGAACAAAAGCAGGCCAAGATCGAACACTCAGGACCTCGACGATGTCCACGAGCCCAACAGCAACGGCAACAACAGAAAACAACAACCAGCGCCTACACAGAAGAATCATGTTTCACTCGGTTCCCTTTCACCAAAGCTTCGATGCCCTGAAGGTGGAGTGCAATGCTCGGGTTCGACAGGCAACCCTAAACCCTAAACCCGAAACTAACCCTAAAGCCTAAACCCTGAACCCTAAACCGTAGAAGGGTTTTAGGGTTTAGAGTTTCGGGGTTTGGAGTTCGTCAGGTCCAGGTGTTTCATTCCTAAATGGAAGTCCGCACCCAGTCATAAGACTGAGCATAGATAAAGGTATCTTCGTAGTTCCGACCCCATTATTTATGTCCGAGACCGGACCGACATCATTTGGGGGTTCCTTATTCTAATTATAGCATAATGGGCCCCAAAACCCTATTCTAATTACCAAGGCCCCTACATTAAACTCTTTAGCTATCCCCAAGTGAGCACTTGGCCTCACAACCGAAGCCTCGCGGTGGGCAGGCTACAAGTCGGGTTCCATATGGGGCGCCAAGGCCGCCACGCTGAGTGGTTTTGGGTTCTTAAAGATCTTGTTTTGGGTTTTTTGAAGTTATCGTTTTGGGTCTCAAAGTTATCGTTTGAGGTTCTTAAAGTTTGGGGGTGTTGGATTCGTGCAGCTTGGGGTTTTGGGTCCTTGAAGCTTGGGGTTTTGGGTTCGGTCGGGTTTGGGCAGGGGGTGCAGGCACGTGACCCTTTAGCGTTTAGCGGCTTACGGTGCAGGGCGTACAGGGGCCCCCAAACCCTAAACCCTAAACCCTAAATCCATGCAGCCCGGTTAGCCGCCCAGGCAAGTTCGTTCTGCTACGACAAGAAGCAGTCGGCCTGCGGCGGGAAGGTAAAGCACTGGAAGATGGGAGGCCGACTTCGCAAGTAGCGGGATTGCCACGACGGCAATTATTTTGTTATCGCCCTCTGTTGCCACCGTCACCACCACCACCACGACCACCACGACGACGACGACTGCTAATCTTGTTGACCGTTTCGAAGCACAAGCATACACAAAGCCATGTATGCTGCGGGCAGTTACATCCAGCTTCACTATGCTCGGGGTGAGTCCTGACCCCGAGCACCAAATCTTAAACTTACGGCGTACGTAGGAAGCCCTGCAGCCTTAAATCCAAAACTCTGATTTCAGGGTCAAAACCGTGTACAAACGCGCGGAACCCCCTGGAAAAGCAGAGCCCTAAACCCTAAACCCTGAACTCTGGATCCGGATTTTGAGGCAGAAGCGTCTACGCGTGTCAGAAGCGTCAGCGCTTGGAAGCTCGAAAGGTTCCCGACGCATTTTCTGAAAAGTCGGCCTTCAGGGCTCTTTAGAGAATGTTCCTGAAAGGGTTGCATAAGGGATCTCTGGGTTTTCAGGGTACTGTAAGGTTCCATAAACGGGTTCCCTTTGAAGGGTTTAGGTTCCAGAGGAAGGGTTCAAGGATTCTGTGTAAGAAGGGTTCTGCAAGGTGGTTTTCAAACCTGGGGCTCGGGGGTTCTGACAAGGTCATTTAGGGGATTTCTGGAACTCTCTGGAGTCATTATGCGAACTTTTATTGTTGGGTTTATACAACTAAGGGTTCTCACCGGGTTGTCTTTGACTGTTTTCTATGTGGGTTCAGCAGAGCGATTTACGTAACGGAGAGTAGGGCGCTACCTTCTGGCGCCAGGGGTTTTATGTAGACGCAGTATTTCTGGTAGTAAGATTTCAGTTCGATACCCTCAACCCAAAACTCAAAACCCTAAACCCTAAACTCTTAACCGTGTTTGATACCCCTATACTTTTTCGAAGTGTTCAACACTTTCAGAAGTATTGGAGTCACTAAGTTGCGTTTCCAGGATTTGTGCGGTTTATGAACAGTTATAGGGCTTAGGGTTTAGGGCTGTCTGACTAGTAAAAGGTTGTCTTTGGCCCTTCGGATGAAATGCTCTGCTTTGAGTTGTCCTTCTACTTTGGGGCTCTTTTTCTCTACTTTGCCTTCTTTTTCTGTTTTGGAAACTTTTTTGCACATGCAGTTCTTGTGGGTCAGTGTGGTCGTTGCACCTACAGTTCTCCTACTCTTGAACCTTCTTGGCATCGCTCGTTTCGTGTGTTCTGAACTATGTTTCTCAGTAGCTGTAGCATGAACCAGCGGCTTAGATTATAGATTTAAGTCAACCCCAAACCCAAAACCCTAAACCCTAAAACCTGAACCCAAACCCCTAAACCCTAAACCCTAAGCCCTGAGGCCCCCTCACCAGGCTCCAAAAGAAGCGAAAGCCCCATCGCTGCGGCGATCTGGCACGCTGCACGTGGACGGCGTCGTCTCGGCCGTCAAGGAGAGTGCCAAACCCCAAACCCCACACGGTAGACCCTCAACAGAAAGGGCTTTTGAGTCTCGGTTTGGTGTGTTTAGGGTTTAGGGTTTAGAACTTCGAGGTTTTAGACTTTAGGGTTTTAAGAACCTCAGCGGCGATAGGAAATCTTCAAACTCCACATGGAAAGCCATGAAGCCTTTGCCTCAGAACGTTAAGCGCCAATCCCTAAACCCTTAAACCCTAA